CACTGAGTCGTTCTCCTATGCAATCATAAAATATAAAAATGTCCTCAAGCACATAGAAGCAAATGGAAATTGTTGAAAAAAGTCCTGCATTATAATAAAAAGAAAGTTGTTGTTGAAGCAATAAAAGAAATGATTTTTAAAATAATAAAAAAAGGGACAATATCTCTTCCTTTCTTCTCTTGAATGTTTGTACGAATTGCATTTCTTCTTGCATCTTTCATTCAGGAAACGATAAGACATAAAAGCAATGCACATTGGTGTCTCATCATTCATTGTGGATATCTGCTTCCTTTGTTTGTAAGGATATATGATTGTATTATATAAGTGCCGATGAATTCTACGTGAATGTGGGAAAGTGCAGAAGTGCACGATTTAAAGAAAGGAAAGCTTGAATCATGAGAGATATCATTCAGAGAGACATGAAATAAAATAAATGTTAAGCTCTTCCTTTAGAAAGGATAAAACTTTTATTTTGATCATTAGGGTTGTGGAAAACTTCTTCTTCAGCAGATATGGAGTTAACTTACTGCCATAGAAGTAATTATAGAATGTGACTTTCAGACCTTAAAAATTCATTGAATTGAAAATCATTGATTTTTTTTTTCATTTCAATAATTCCTCTTTAATAAAATTTCCCCAAGCACACAGTTCAGTTACAGCCTCGACAATTTCCAAGTAAATTTTTTTCACATTTTCTTTATGGCTGAATGTGGGGTTATACAATTACACATTTTCATCTAGCTCTTGCCAAAAAAAAAGTGAAATCTGATAAAGATGTCTTTTATTACAAACAAGAAGATTAAAGTGTGTGTGTGTGTAGAAGATGAAAAGAAATAACTAAGGAGATGAAAGTGTTTCCACCATAAAGACCATTAAATTTTATTAGAAGTGTGTGAAGGAATTTCCTTTCCGATTTCTCTGTTGCTTGCTGCTAGCTCGTGTAGAAAATAATCTACATGGAAAATTTTATACAAATGGTTATGTAGCAATTTGTTTGTAGAATCACTAGCCAGAGCTTGATTTAAAATTTAAAGGTTGAGGCTTGTAGATATGGCTCGAAGAACATATCTGTAGTAGATAGGCTTGAGCATAGGCTCGGGTTGAAACTGGTTATATGTGTATGACGGATAGCCGTAATGAGATACAGTAGCGCTCAAAATGATAAGGACAGCAACATTTTTTTCACATTTTTATTAATTTTGACGCACAGGATTATCTAAATTTGCTGAAATTTGGACCGGTTATACAGTTTTAAATGCCCTTTCATACAATATATACTAATTGTACTTTAATTAAATATTTTTGAAAAAAACGGTAAAAAATCAAAATGGCTGCCGCTTAAAATGATAAGGACAGTAGATTATGTTAAGATTTTATTATATTAAGTAATATTATGGAACTTTTAAGACTTAAAACATTATGTTTGATGAATATTCTTTAAATAAATTTATAATTCACGCTTCTAGATGTAAGACTTCTTACTTAATTTTAGTGTTTAAAAATATGTGAAAATTTTGTCAATTTATGATAAATTTTTGTACAGAAACTTGTTTATTCTTTAGGTTAACTACCAAAAATTATAGATAATTTGATTATTTATCAATTTATGATCAAACATTTAGATAACTGTTAATTAATGTAAATTTTTTTCAAAAATTTTATTTTTCCTTTGCGAAATTTTTGTGAACTTAAGTCGACAATTTGAAAAAAAATTGTTAAATATTCGCAAAACAATGCTTAAATTAGTATATTTCTCTTCCATTTTAATTGTTTAATAACATATATCAAGCAATTGAACCGCTTCGAAAGGATTAAGTGACTAAGCAATCGTTCTCTACCAACAACAAGACTTTTTGATATGGCAAAAATGAAAAATGTGTTGGAACTTAAAAAAATATGATTTACATAAGTGAAGTTTTAACATAAAATAATTAAATTTGGCTTTTTTAATCGAATAACACTCTATTTTGTATTCTATGATTTAACATTTTTACAAAAAAAAATTTCTTCATATTTTTCCGTCTTGAGAAGCTCATAGAGAACGATTGCTTAGTCACTTTATCCTTTCGAAGCGGTTCAATTGCTTACTATATGTTATTAAACAATTAAAATGGAAGAGAAATATACTAATTTAAGCATTGTTTTGCGAATAAAAAAAAAAAAAAAAAAAAAAAACCTTTACCTATTCAGATCAATTGTGATCCAGAGGTGCGCTAGGGCGATTCGCAGCTAATGAGAGTTTAACGAGTGAGGATGCGCCAAACCACTGCACTCAAACCTAGACCTACAATTTATAGTGGGATCCGAACCACTCCTTTGATGACATTTCTGTCTGTAGCCTACAAAGGAAGGCTGTGAGCCTCATTTCCAGTACATATGATTCGAAAAAGAACAAGTGAAAAATTTCCCATACCCAGTCTCGAACCCATGATCGCTGTGTCGGTATTGCAATAATTAGGTACCGAAGTACTAAACCATTCCGCCACCGAGCCACTTCAGCTCAAATATTTAACCATTGCGAATATTTAACCATTTTTTTTCAAATTGTCGACTTAAGTTCACAAAAATTTCGCAAAGGAAAAATAAAATTTTTGAAAAAAAATTACATTAATTAACAGTTATCTAAATGTTTGATCATAAATTGATAAATAATCAAATTATCTATAATTTTTGGTAGTTAACCTAAAGAATAAACAAGTTTCTGTACGACAATTTATCATAAATTGACAAAATTTTCACATATTTTTAAACACTAAAATTAAGTAAGAAGTCTTACATCTAGAAGCGTGAATTATAAATTTATTTAAAGAATATTCATCAAACATAATGTTTTAAGTCTTAAAAGTTCCATAATATTACTTAATATAATAAAATCTTAACATAATCTACTGTCCTTATCATTTTGAGCGGCAGCCATTTTGATTTTTTACCGTTTTTTTCAAAAATATTTAATTAAACTACAATTAGTATATATTGTATGAAAGGACATTTAAAACTGTATAACTGGTCCAAATTTCAGCAAATTTAGATAATCCTGTGCGTCAAAATTAATAAAAATGTGAAAAAAATGTTGCTGTCCTTATCATTTTGAGCGCTACTGTAAGTACCTCGATGGCTGAGTGACAGGGATCTCTGATTAAGTGGTCAGAAATCGCCTCTTTTGAGGTCGTGGGTTCGATTCCAATGGAACCCGACTTGTTGCTTTACATTAGTATACACATATAGCAGTTATAGGGAGATCTACAAGCTCCAAAATATATTGTGTTATTCAATTGGCATGAAACTAGTGAGCTTTTGTATTACGCTGCTGCTAAATGCTAGATTAGACGACATTAGTCATTGTCGCGGCATTCAATTTCGACATCACTGACTTAACTTATTAATCAAATTGTTAAGGAAATTAAAATTGTCAATATTCTGAAATTATCTGTTCAAATCCAATCTTGAGCTTAGCTTACGTTTTTCAAAAAGTACCAAGTATGTGAATGATTTGCATCTAGTCGAGAAAAAAACTATATATAGTTCTGAAACATCTAATGCGCATTTGCAATGTCTACAGAAATTAATCGTAAGCATCCATTAAGATTTTATAGAGAATGAAAATAAAAAGTTTAAATTCCAGTCATGAACAAGGCATTTCAATTACCATTTTTCCGATACAACAGAAAATTAGCAACAAATAATCGCTGAAATATTTATTATCCAAATTCCACAAACTTTTCGAATAAAAGAATTTATTAAATTAAAGAAAATTGAATTTATCTCATATTTTTGATGCAACTAGTGCACCACTAAGTGACTCACGTTTTGTGGATGTACATAAAAAAATGCTTTTAGCAAAATATTGAATAATGTATAAAGTGAACTATTTCCACTGTTGCTTTAATTTTTACGATCGTGTCAAGAGATGCGAAATGAGGAGAGTAAAATTTAATTTTCTGTGCATTTGCTATGTACACACATATCTTTATATCTAGCAGTGCTTGCATGATGTGAGAAAGAGCAATGATGGTAATATTGATTTTTTGTGCCATGCATCAGTGCCTTCTTCCTATTATATATTATATCATGACTTTTGATGAATACCTTAAGGCGAATCATCATCATATTGTAGCTTCATTGATTGAAAATCACATTTTTGAACATGCTGAACAGAAAATTTCCATTCATCGATTGACAGTCGAACAGCTGCTGAAAGAAAATTCTTTTTACATGGCTGGCATGAGCACAGAAAAGCTTTTAAGCTACACGAAAATAAGCGTTGACTCACAAAATGATAATATTCTATCATTTTTACGTATTTATAATATAAGCATAAAACATTCTCAGACAGTACATAATAAAAATTCCACCGCATCGTAAAATGGAAAGAAGAAAAATCGCTGCTGATTCTCACTGCTGTTACTATCATGAAGTATATGTACACAAAATTATTTGAGTAGAAAAGGCACTCGACACATAAGAGAGAGAGAGAAATATTTATAGGATATACAGCTATGCATGTTGAAGGCAAATTAATGATGAATAACATTGTTGTCCTGAATGTTTCCTCGCTTGCCTCGCATAAATATTATTTTTCCGCTTCTATGTAAACTTTCCCAGGACTATTATTATATTTGTAACTCTTACAAGCTCCTTTTTTGCTTCTTGCCTTTTCTGCTCTTTTTTTTCAACGTCGTGTTCAGCAATTGTTAATTAGATCAATTTGTTTGCACTCTTTTCCTTTCCATTCCTTTCATTTTCATGTCATGACTTTTTGTCACAAAATTTATAAAGTAAAAACTCTTAAGCAATTCTACGGAAATGGGTCACGCTATGACACAAAATCATATATACTGCAAAACTTTCTGGAATATTGAAAAAGTTCATAGAGCAAAAAAATTGTTTTTCAGCTTTTTTTATTTTATTTTGTTTTTACTTTTCTATTTTTTCCGATTATTGATTTTAATTTTACGCTTCATTCAATTCCAATTCTGACATTTTTTGTCGCTTCGTTTCAGATGTCAAAGTAGTCGTGAAGGTAACTTAGATAGCGCAGATATGGAATCAAATAGTAGTAAAAATTCCCGTGACTATTGGAGCAATCAACAGGTGAATATTATGACTTTATAGAATTAGAAAGTTTATTAATATTTTTTTTTTGTAAAAAACATCAATAGGCTGCAAGTCCGACTTCAAGTCGTAAAGATAAAACATCATCGCCAAGTCACTCAAGACGAAGTACACCGTCTGCAAAAAGTTCTAGTCGTACAAAAGGAGTTCCTCAAAACTTTGGATATATTAAACGTACTAATGGAAGCTCAACTGCATCTGAAATCCAAACAAATGCAATGCTTACGGGGGGTCGAACTGCTCACGTCTCGGCAGTGCCACGATCAAACAAATTGAAAGTATCTGGAGGTACGCAAACATCCACTGCCGACTTCCAACAGAGTAAGATTAATTCAATTTGTCAACAGTGTTTTGATTAATGACTTCTTTTGTCTTCCTTCTTTCCACTTCTTCGTCCGCTCACTGTAGAATTACAAAATCCGCAATATCGAAGCTTTTCACTAACAGGCCCCGGTGCAGCTCAATTATCACAATCAGTAAAAGAGAGATTTGGATCACACAGTTTGCCAAAGGGTGGACTTGATATGCATGTCTTCCAGCAAAGGTAAAACATAATCATGATTTATGTTCTAGGCATTTTATTCAAAATATTTTGTATTTAAATATAAATTTATTTTAGAATGGCCAACAGAGGCTCAGCCAAATTAAATGATGGTAGCTTATCAGATACACAAACGTATGCCGAAGTGAAACCTGAGTATAATACATACGCCATGTGGTTAAAACATAACAGTGGCACAACAGCCAACCGATTATCAGAAGGTGACTCACTTGAAGCCGTTTCTATTGTATCATCACCCGGATTATCTAGAAACTCAAAGCTTTTACAACAGTCAAGGGATTCCACGCCTCAATCATCAGCACAGCAAACTGGTCAAAATTCAAAGCTTAATCGTAGTAATAGCATCAGGTATGTAGATTTGACATGTTGATATAAATGATTGCAAATTGGTTTGACATTAGTTTTTGACCTAAAAGTTTTCAGAAATGAATTTCTAATTAACATGAGATTTTAAAGGCATCCCAGGCATTTTAGATTATAGAATAAATTTTCAAGATAATGAACAGATCCCAAATGTAGTAAATGAACTTAATTATAGACCATTTTATTCGTTGGTCAAGCATTAAATGGCTTGAAAAATTACACATTAATGAATATTCAATGAAGCTTCAAATTACCAAGCTTGAATCGTTATCTTAAAAATTTCATAATGCCTTAAAACTTTTTCAATTGTTGAATGAATTTCCTTAGAAAAATGAATTATTTTGTGACTTCATAACATTGTTTGATTTGATTTTTGAGTTAATTAATTTTTAATTTGTTTCATTTTTCAAAAATCATTCAAAAATCATTTTGATGTCATTAGCTATCTACAAGAACGGACATATCCAAGGTATATTGATCCATCACAACTCTCTTACATTTATGTTTATGACTGTAACTACCAAAAAGAAACAACTTTTAATTTTTTTTACTGTTCACTGCTTGGGTTTGCATGAATCCGCCCAATAAATTAAGATTTTTTTTCTTCGTTCTTCTGTTTCTCTCGTGATGCTAATATTGCTGGTACATATGATACACATTCACATGACATTGAGCAAAAAAGCTATCTTTATGTAAAAAATCTTGCTGCCAACAACACACAATAATTCATCCTTTTGACTTGTGCTTAATGTATATTATATCCATCCACCATATATACGAGAGATCATAATCATCATCCATCTAAAGTGTGCGTTTGTCTTCATCCTTCCTCCCATGTTAAAAGTGTTCACTTTTATTTTTCATTTAATAATATGTAGCATCATAACATTTCTCTCAGCACGAGCGAGACATAAAGTCAATATCAAATGATATCAATCATAAAAAGCTTTTAAGATTTTTCTACATTTTTTATTATTTTCTTTCCTCTTTTCTGCTCTTACTTACTTTCCTCGACTGTTTGTCATGATAAATGCTCTTGTATATTTTAAATGCAATGATTGACGTCATTGATGCATGAAGCTATTTCAACTGTTGCTTATTACTACCATAAATGCCTTACAACATCTTTATTTTTTTTATCATTATTCTTTCCACAATTCTTCCATTAGATCAACCAAGTCGGAGAAAATGTATCCATCAATGTTGAGTCGTGGACCAGATATTGAATCGGAGCCATATTACTGCTTACCAGTAAATGCACAAGGTATGGTCCCATGGAGCCAACCAACGAGTCCTCAACCGACACCATCACGTGGATTTACTGGGCTCCTTTCACCCACGCACAACGCCAGTCACAGACTCACGTATCCAAAGAAAAATGATGAAGGTAATTTCCATGCTAATGCTTTATGTGTGTGCTTGACATTAATGAAATTCTTTCTTATTTGCTGTTCTCATCTACTTGACTTCCACTTCACGCATAATTTTTTTTTTTTCGTTCATCTTTAATGTACAGTACATGGAAGTCAAATATCTCTCATGTCAGGTGGCTCATCAATGTACGGCTCGACAACAGAGGAACAGAGACAAGCGAATGAAGTGCGACGACTTAAACGTGAGCTTACCGAAGCAAGGGAACAAGTCATGAGCCTCTCAAGTCAATTGTCAACGAATGTGAGTAACAAACATCTTCTTTATTCTTACTATATACCTTATTTTATGTGCTAACGAAAATAAGAAAAACGTTTTTTGTCATGTTTCATTTCAACACGAAAGTAAGAAAAATATTATTAATGTAAATTTATGCGGTTAAATAAGTTCATATTATGGAGATGTTCATTTACTAAATGGCAAGGATAAACCATAATCTAATCATAGATGTGTACAAATGGAAAACCACAAATTTCAATTTTCTTTTCCAAATTAAATATTTTTAACTTTATAACTCCCTTTTTGGAACATTTAAACAGACGATGTCGAATGTCGAATTTAACCTTAGGGCAAATTTCTAGTTAAAGTTACTTTTGTGAACTCTCACTTTTTTGCTCCGTATTTACATATGACATTTCTAAATAGCTTAATTCCTTTTAATGCCGAAAAATTTCCAATCGACTAATTTACACTTAATTCATATATGCATAAAACTATAACAACAAACGACGTCAATATCAGCATTAGTTTATTAATATATGCGCGGTCTATAAAAAAATTTATATTATGATTTAGCGAAGAAAAAATAAAGGCAAATGAGTGATAAAGAGGAAACATTTGCGTAAGTGCTTATACATGATGAATTGCTATGACGATTAGTGAGATGTCAAATGGCATTTCTTTACTATTTGTCGGCTTTCACAATTTTTATTTTAATGCTGCCTTAACACACATATGTTGCCTTTTTATTTATTTCGCCATGACATGATGGGTGGGAATGACAATTTGTGAAGTTGTCATGAGAGACGAAGAGATTGACGAGTGTCGTGTGACCTTAAAGGTTATTTTACGAACTGCTATAAATCTATGATGATTTTAAACAAGAGAAATTTTTACCTTTGAGAGAGGAATTGCTGTCTTCCTAAAGGAAAGGAATTCCAATTATTTTTCTCAGTACTGCAACAGATGAAATTCAAGCATTTTAAAGAAAGATTCCAAAAACATGCATCAGTAGCTTTACATCGCACGGTAAATTTCTCTAATCATCTTGCTTATAATTCTTCTACTTCATGCCATATAATATGGACATAAGATGGAAGAAACTCATTGTTCCGGTGCTTTTCCATGTTTAGTTTTGATTAAAAAAAATTTTATTCGCTTCTCTTTCATTAACTTTTATATTATTATTAACATATATGATGAAAAATAAAGAAGAAATCTATCTCCTCCATATAAATAAACCTCCTATATAACATGAGTAAAGTCCATAATAAGAAGAATAAAATGAAAATGAAAAGGAAAGAAAGGAGGTCAGTATGAATGAAAGAATAGATATAGTAAGCAGAAACAAATAGTTATAGTAATAGTAATAATTATGAACAACTAGCTACTCATTAATCACATGAACATTACAATTAGATGCCATTTAAATCGAATTTGTAAACATTAAAATAAGAGAAGAAAAAGATTAGGATAATAAAAAAAAATTGAAAAAAAAAACAAGTCACATGTGTGCGGTAGAAAGCAAAATTTATTGTAATAGACAGAAGGTACTTTATGTGCATGTCATACAACTTGCATGACAGCTGAAAGTTCAAGTTTGTGCAAAACTTATTGAACAAACAAATTATGAGCGTACGTACAAGATAATAGAAAATCTACCATAAACAGTCAGGTAAACTGAAGAGTCAATTGAGAGGTCAAGGATGTTAATTGTTTATTAGAAATCGAAAACTAATTTCTTTCCATCTCATTGTTAGTGTAAATCAGCATTGAATCATTTTAGTTTACCAAAATTAAGTTGGCATGAGTAGCATGACCCGAGTAATGAGGCATTACACAACTATTTTTCGTACATATTAATTCGTTATGTCAAACAACGTAGACATACAGTAATTTATCTTTGTAATTATGTGAAATTTTACAATAGCTTGTGAGTTTTTGTTCTTCGAGTACACAACAGAATCGATGTAGACGGTCTGCTTGAAGAAATGTATTGTTTTTGGAGGGTTCAGATAGACTTTAAAATTTTAGTACTCAATAAGTTTTATGGCAAATTTTTAGCAGTTTGCTGGTACGATACTTTGTTGAATTTTGTACCCCCCCCCCCCTCCCCACACTATTTGTAATCGAATACAGCTTTAAGTCTTTTAATAAAGAACCAAACTTAATCATAAACAAAAACTTGGTAATAGTCAAATTTGCATTATGCTTCAGGTTTCCAATGCTTGGTATTGACACAGTCCTAATATGTTAATGCACGCGCGTAGCCAGGAGGGTCTTGTCCCCCTCTTAAGCGTTTTAGACTGTACTCTCGCTGCTTTTTTTTTTTTTTTTTTTTAAATTAAACTTTTTATTTATTTACATTTAAATTTAAGTATGTACAAAGTTTCTATACATTTTGTTGCTTTTTTTTTTTAAGGTTTCAGGCATTCAATTTGCCTTTTGTCTCTTAATTTTGATTTCATTTACGGATTTTACTTTCTTTTGTATTTCATTTGATTTATTCGGTGTTTTGAGATGCAAGACGACTGTTGAAGTTCGCTTGCAACTTTCCGACGTAGTCTTCGATGGACGGTATTTTCGCTTCTGTATGAAGATCGGTGATCCTTTCATATCTTGTTTTATTGAGAACAATTCTCAAGAATTTGTTTTGCAGTACTTGAAGTTTTTGAAGATGGGTTTTTGCCATGCTTCCAAACGCTGGACAACCATATGTGAATATTGGTCTGATGGCTAGCTTGTAGATGAGAAGTTTGTTTCGTACGTCGAGTTGTGAGTTCCTGCTGATGAGCGGATAAAGCTGTCTTAATGCGGTGTGAGCCCTATTGGTCACATACTCCACATGCGGCTTTAATGTCACTCTCTTGTCGATCACCATTCCCAGATATTTAGCTTCTGTTTCCCATTTGATGTTTTCGTTGAGAAATTTGATGTTATTTCCTGGTAGTTGCCTGGAGTGCCTGTTTGTGATGAATAAGGCTTGAGTCTTCTGTTTGTTGAGGTTGATCTTCCATTTGTTCATGTATTGTTGAACTTTTCTTCCTGTGTGCTGTAGATGTGTCACAATATCGGCCGAGTTCTCTGCAGAATGATACAGTGCTGTATCATCTGCGAAAAGACCGATGTTGTTGGTTGTTTCTCTTACAACATCATACGTGAAGATGTTGTAGAGAGTTGGTGAAAGCACTGCTCCTTGTGGCACTCCGAATTTGATTACCTTGATTTCTGAGAACTGACCTTTAATAAAAACTGCGAAAGATCTTTCACTGAGGAAAGATCTTACAGTTTTTATAAGTGGCAGTGGAAATCTCAGTTTGAGCATTTTGTACAAGAGTCCGTTATGCCAGACTCTGTCAAATGCTTTTTCTACATCCAGGAAGATCATGCCTGTTGACTTTTTGTTGTTTAAGTTTTCTTTTGCTGATTTGATCACTTTGATGAGCTGGTGAGATGTTGATCTTCCAGTCCGGAAGCCGCACTGCTGGTTTGGGATGATGTTGTTATCCTCAAGATGATCGTTGATTCTATTCAGTAATACTCTCTCCAGTATTTTGCTTATTGAGCTGAGTAGACTTATTGGCCTGTAGCTGCTTAGCTCATTTGCTGGTTTTCCAGGTTTTGGAATAGGAATCACTTTTGCATGTTTCCAAACTTTGGGGAAGTGGTTGAGTTTCAGACACGAATTGATGATGAATTTCAAGTATTCGAAACCTTTTTCAGGAAGATTTTTGATGAGTATGTTGTTGACTTCATCTAGTCCCGGAGCTTTTGGATTTTTCAGATTTCTTATGATGCTCACGATTTCGTTTACATCTGTTAGTTCTGGATTCTCATCATTGTCTTGTTCCAATGCTTCTTTGACTGTGTTGTTTACTTCCTGTGTATGTTGTGGATCGTTTTGTTCCAGAGGATTTTCGTGAGCTTCACGAAAATACTCGCTGAGTGCGCTGGCTTTTTCTTTGTTGGTGATGAACGTTTTATCCAGATTTGTCAATGGAGGCATTGTTTTTGAACCTTTTTTGCAAAATTTTGCTATTCTCCAAACTGTTTGGTTTGACGGTTGAATCTCTGAGAGACGCTTATTCCAGTTTTTGTTTTTGAGTTCTTTAATTTTCTCATTGATGACTCTCTGTAGATAATTCAATTCAGATTTGAGTTGATTATCTCTGCTTCTCTGCCATCTTCGACGAAGACTCCTTTTTGTGTTGATTAGATCTTTAATCTCCGGTGTGAGTTTAGTTGATTCGAACTTGATCTTTTTCATTTTTACACTTGAGTTCCTCGCTTCCATGATGAGTTCAGAGAGAATCTTAATGTGATTCTCGATCTCATCTGTTGTATTGCAAGAATTTTCTCCAATGTTGTCTTCAATGCGGCGTGAAATTTGTGCTTTGAACTTTTTCCAGTTTGCGTTTTTGTAGTCATATCTGTAGACTGTATTTTCAGTTCTGTCGATTTTTGATGTTTTGATTTGGAAATACACAGCGCAGTGATCACTCATTGCCTCTGTGCATTGAAGTTCTGTTGTTTCGAGGTTGGAATTCGAGAGCATCAGGTCAATTGTTGACACTGATTTGTTTCGATCTTCTGGGTAGTACGTTGGCGAGTCAGGAAAGTAGATCATGAACTCTCCTGACATTTCCTGAAGAATATTTCCTGATTTATTTGCTACGTTGCAGTTCCATTCTCGATGTTTTGCATTGAAGTCTCCACAGATGTAGTAATTTCCTCTCAGATTTGTTATTTTGTTGATGTCATCTCTCAGATGTAGATCTATTTCCCCTCCTTTGCTTCCTCCTGGGAGATAGACTGAGAGGATGTGACAACTATCCGTGTCATTGATGAAGACTTTGATTCCAATGCATTCCATTAGTTTTGTGTTGTAGCTTGGTTGAAGCTGATGTTTTAGATTTCTTTTGACGATGATTGCAACACCACCCTTTGGTCTATCCACGCGATCCAATCGATGAATTACGTAGTCTGGATGCGAGTCAATTTTTGAGTTTGGTTTTAGGAATGTT